CAGTGAAAGCCTGTGGGGACACCTTTTTTTTTTTTTTTTCTTTCTCTTACACTTGTTTCTTTTCTTTCTGCAGAAATGCAGACAGGGCAAAACAGACCACATCCCTGTTCTGCAGGTTGGTATGTGAACAGCCAGCAAAACCCAGAAGAGCAACTTCAGCAAAAACTCTATTCAGCCTTGAAAAGCTGAGGAACACATAGTGAACCAAGAAACTATAGGAAATAGAGCTGCCAAACTCTTAAAATCCTCAACAGAGCACATGACAACTGAGATTTTTCAAAAGCTTATAAAGCAAAAGGTTTTGCCTGGCACTGGAACAATGGCTATCCACTTCTATTTCTAGCTATTGCTCCAAAGCTCATGAAAAGTTAAAAATGAACACAGTTGAAAATGAACACAGTTGAAGAACATTTTTTAACCCAGACTTAGTTTAAGAAATGGATGGTTGGAACCTTCCTAAAACCATTTCAAAAGCAAGTTACAGGAAAATTTCAGACCAAACACAAGCTCTTTGGCAAGGTTATGTTTAACTGAAAGCAGACCCTTAAAATGGGAAACACTGTGCAACCTTCACTCAGGATTTGGAATGAACTGAGATTCATTCCACATGAATCTCAATATAATAATTGAAATTGTCTAAGTGGCTCTTGTCGTTAAAGCTCAAGAGAAACACAAATTATAGATTAATCATTTATTTACATTTATACTGCTCAAGTACGTCATCATTAAGAGCATTATTTTAACTACTCCAAAAATGAAAAGATTCACAGATTTCTAGCTCAGAGACTGTAAATTTCCCTTTTCTAATAGATAGTCCATCAACTGAGCAAAGACCTAGCCAAGGCTGAGGGACTTAAAATGATAGCCTTTCACCTTCTTTTTCACTGCAATCCTACATGGAGAGGTCACCTGAAAGCATTTCCATGGATGGCTTCAACTTTCTTATCATCTTTAGTCTATTATATTCACAGATAAACAAACTTCTCACAATGGGATAAAATTCTCTCCTGACTTTGAAGACACCAGAAGTATGTTCGCTGTATCCAAAACTATACCTAAGCAGTCAGTACACTGCTTTCTCTCCTCTTGATGGAGTAAAAAAGTCTTTTTCTTTTTCAGTAAGAAAATCAATCAACAAGGTGCTTGAAGTATCTGGTCAGTTAAGAGAAATTTGAAGTCTCTCCCTCTGACATTCCTGACCCCTTGCAATTCAAATTTGGGTTGGCTTTCATCTCAGTGATTATACTCAGTTTTATTGCCTTTTAAAAAAATGAGGTGCTTTGTCCCTTCTCTGAATGGATCAGGGCTATCAGAGCTCACTAAAATTCTTTATCTCTTCTCATCACTACTTTGTTCCTGCCTCACCCTTGCTTGGGAAAAGACAAGGGAAGTATGCAGTTCATCTGAAGATAGTCATGTAAGAAAACACTGAAACTCTCCAGAGCTCTACCACAGAGAAAAGGCAGAAAAATAGCAGATCRATACTTCCTCTTCAGGTGTTATTTCTAACTCATGTACATGCAGTTTATCATATCATGGATTGGAAAACATGCATTGGCTTATCAATAGTGGAACATGCAGTTCACTTGAGGATGGATAATTTATTCTTTTGGCAACACTGAAGCAACATGAGACCTTTTTTCCTTTGGATTCTCAATAGGAACATGGCACAAAGCCCAGTGGAAAAGATGCATCACACTGAGACTCACTCAGGACTCTGATTTATCCAAACCCTGAATCCAGACCTTTTATCAATGAGGGGTCTTTTTAATATCAAGACTAGATGATAATATGTAATGCAAATAGTTTATTCTTAGAAATAATATCACTACCTATCTGACTTAAACATTTTACACTCGTAATTGTTGGTTTACAACTGGCAAAATTCAGCATTGTAGAATTAATATGAAAAAGGTGAAATACACCAGCAAGAACCAATCCATTGCACGCAAGGGGATACTGGCAACTGATCTGATCCCATTTCCCCATTGCACTGGGAACTGATCAGATAAAACAAGTGACTACCTGAATACAATAAAAACCCACACAATATGAAGATTATGAAATGACTTCTTTGTGTTTTCATATGTTTTCGCACAAGGCCCCAACAGGATTGCAAATAAGTGTTTTAAAACTCAGTTGCACTGCAGTTCCTGAAAGAAAACATGCCATTGGATACTCCAGTACTTGACTGAAAAACAGGCTCAAAGAAAGGTGTGTTCACTCGAGGTTATGGTGGGGTCCTAAGTAYGACCTGTTCACCAGTCCTATCATACGGGGCATCAAAGCAAGAAAGTGGCAGGTTGGAGCTGCAATAAGTTTTGCTCATTTTCCATGGGTTTAATGTATCTTTGCTTGCCAGTTAAAGCCATCTCTTGGCTGTTCAAGCTTGTAGCCAGGCCAGTGTGAGCCCCTTGATGTCTTCCAGGAACAGAAGACAGCTTCCGTCAAAAACTGACTTTTGGTTCAAAACCCTTTCATTGCATATTTTATGGCATCTGTTCTTCTAGCTTGAAATAAAGCTATATATTATTCCAGAAATATTCAGAAAGTGTTCAGAACTAAATGCATGAAAAGGATAATTACCCTTCTAAAAGACTTTTCCAACTAATCTTGAAAAAACCCCTCATATAAGCATCTGTGTTACTAGCACAGACAAAAATACAGTATTTAACAAAGAATTTATGCAAATGCTGGCTCTATCTGAATGAAAGCTAGTTCCAGTTAAGCTCTTAAATTTAATCATGAAGTCTTTGTCCTTTATATGCTTTGTATTTTTACAAGAATGGGAGAAAATATTTCAGAGGGCTTTATTTTTTGTATGCTTTTGTTTTCTTTTGAATTCATGGGTTTTATTTAATATCATCTAACTCCAGAGGTAACACAACAGAAAATTATAACTCAAATATTCAAATAGGTAAATGAATAAATAATGCAATTCAGAAACTTCTTAAAATCAACTAAGCACATTTCAAACCTGCAAATTCATGACCTTAAGATTAAATACATTATGAAATGATCTCCTGTTGATACTAAAGCCCTTATTCCATAATCTGTCATTTAGATCAAATGTTGCTCCTATGGTAAGTGTGACCCTGCACTAGTTTACAGAAGAAAAAAYATCAGAGGAAAAATGGAAATATTTCTCCTAGATATTTTTTCTCTTTTCGCATTTCTGGTTGGTTGTTCCAACCAGAGGGTTAGTTCTAAGTATTCACAGACAAGGAAAGTTAGTAAATGGAATGCAAATGAGGCAGTGAAATGCACAGAAGCACATTTATGTTATCATTAATATAATTCGTATCTATTCAGACACATAGCCTAAAAGTGATGTGGAAATAAGTGAGAAAGGTCTATTTACTGGAATTGAATAAATTTGAAAAAAAAGAAAAGAAAAACTGTTGCATTTTCAGCCTGGATGTCTCCTAACATGAAGCAGAACACTTCAAATACAAGAAGTGACCAGGATATATATATATATATGTGTGTGTGTGTGTGTGTGCATACACATATACATTATGCGTGTGTATACATATATATGTTTTTTATATATACGTTATACATATATACATATATATGTTATATATATGCATTCTTCCTCCAACAATACATGTGAAGCTTCAATACATTCTTTTCTTTGTTCCTAAGATATCTGTTATCATAGTAACTATTAATTTATGAACAAAGGACAGTAATCCACAGGCAGTATCCTGGCTTTCTCAATAATACACTCACCAAAATACAGCTAAAATAAAAGTTGTATAAAATGTAAGATTCTCATTGTGTATTAAGGCATCAGAGTGAGCAGTAGCTTTGCTGTAGGTATTGTGTTCAACAATTCTTCTAAACCTTCTGTTACAGCAAAGATTTGTTAGAAATGCTCAAAAAATGGAAGATAGAGATACAAGCTGCAAATTACAAACCATGTCAATTCACTAATAAGTAATTATAAAAGCTTTCAGCAGAATTTCAATTACAATCACTTATTTTCATGACCGTAACTCAGCAGCAAAAATAGATTTTGTGATGAATATCAGTCCATGGCTTCTTCAAATAAGCCGTAGTAAAAATGCAAACATAAACCTGCAGCTATTGGTGACATATACTTTGAAATGACTTTTGTGCACAAAAATTTACTTTCTTCAAAGAAACTGATCACCATGATAGGAAACTGTCCTCAGAATTTAATAGTGTTGATCTCTTAGCACTTAAAATCTGAACTGAAGCAGGACTTGGGGTGGAGCACTACACCTTAGACCTGCAGGTATCATTCAGCACAGCATACAGCACTGCAAAATGTTCTGAAGCACTAATTACTTGATAAATCTCCAGTATTTCTGCTATTCCATAACATGATATTAGACACAGATAACACATATTAGACAGAAACAGAAAAAAAGATTTTGCAGTTGACAAWATCGAAATTTTCTGAGATAAAGCACTGAGGAACTACATGTATCTACTTTCTTTAAAAACGAAACTTCGGAACTTAACCCATTAGAAGAGATAGACTTCTCATTTCAACACACAGAGATGGTGAATTTTTATTTTCTGTTTTGTTTTTGTGTTCACACTAGCCTAACAATGTCCCAGCAGATTTTTTACATTCAAGAACGGATGCTGCACAAAGGAGCCTGATTAAGGAGAGAAACAACCTACAGCAGCCTGCAGAGTACAGCAGATCCTGGGCAGCACTCTGAAGGTACCTTAAGCCACTGTGAGGACACCTTAAGCCATTCAGTGGAAACTATTTGTGCTTGCCACTATTTCAGGTTATTTCAGCACTCTGAGCACTCTGCCTTCATCACCACGGTGTCAGCTTTCCCTCATGCAAGGTGAGCGTGCTGATCTTTCCTGACTTTATAAGGGTAATGTGAATTTCAAATACACGGAGTGTCTAAAGCACTTTGAGATCCCTGGATAAAAGGTGCCAGATAAGTGCGAAAAATCCATCTGTATGATTAACAATTTCTTTTTCCGGAGTATAGCTCAGATCTTACTTTGCTTCCAGTGCCAGTGCAATGATGCCTGCAGCCATAGGTGCAGAGGCTGAGGTTCCCGTATGGCTGTCTGTGCAACGCTGCCTCAGGTCTGTGGTGATCTGGAAGAAATCGAATGTGCGAAATTTAGAACACAGCTTCAGAAATCAGAACAGGTTTCATTTGCTTGAGTGAGCTGCCTGTAAGCAGAGGGTATTTTCTTCTTTCATCACAAAGAAGGAAAAAGAGCCTTCTGAGTACATGATTTTAGATGTTCATTTTCTGCTCAGTGCTTGAAGACCTTTGTGAACTTGGAGGAGTGTTCTCTGTATTGCACTGAAAACATAAGTTAGTCTCATTTTTTTTTCATGGCATGACCAACAAAAGACCTGTAAACTTGGAAAACATGCACAGGGTTTGTAACAAAATGGTTAGAACTCTGCTCTTCCATTACTTTGCATTTATAGAGCACTTCCCATCCAAGAATCTCAAAGTGCTTTACAAATTGGGATGAATTACACTTCACAGTTTTCCCAACATACAGCTTCATTATGATCATTTTTAAGACTGAAAACCAGAGGTATGGATGGGTTAATGGAGTTACCTGAAGTTACAACAAAAGTACATGGTAGAAAAGAATGCAGTTATGCTCATGTTAAGTACTGCATTTAATTCACAATCTTTTCCTTCCTTCCTTACGCAATAATTCAGATGAAATTACGCAACAATTCATCTGAAAATCCTGATGTAATCACAAATTTGGTTTGAAGATCTCCAGCCTATTAGTTATTTGGAGTTTTATACTGTTAAATACTGCTTAATAATGATCTCAATGCCTCCATAAAGCCGTCACACACAACACCAACTAAAAAGTCACAGTGCTTGGTGTTAGAATGCTCCTACCACAAAGAATTTCAGGTAAATACTTTCTSCAATGCAACAGATTATATACAATAATGTATTCACTCTGAAACTATTTCTTTCAGGCAAGATTAACCTCAAATGATTCTACTTGAAATTCTTTTTTCTGGAGAAGTGGTTCCTAGCAAGACCTAAGCACTGGAGACAAGAAGCCAGGACCACCTGAAGATGCTCAAGCAAAACACATGCAGATGTTTCCATTAAATGTAATTCAGTAGTTGTAACACAGACACATGCAAAAAGATGAAGGGGAGGGAGTGGATCACAGGAGAGTGGGAACCAAAGCACACAAAAGTCCAAGATGTGTAAAAATATCTGTCTAGTTTAAAAATTGGAAGCTACTCGAAATATGGTCTTGAAAAATAGCCATATACTATCTGAACACATTACAAACAATTACAATCTGTGTGGGACACACAGGTTTTACTCATATACATTGATAATATTCAGTATTGTATATATTACATAAATAATAAAAGTCCTGCTGAAAGTCCTAAAGACATGTTAACATGTACAGGCTAGCAAAAAGGACTTATATAAAGGAGGTTGACAGGATCAATGAAGTGATTGTTGAAAGCAAGTAGTGACTGTGTGAAACAAAATGGAAGGTTCTAGAAGCTGAAAAGTAAGGATCAAAGCATTTACAATGCCATACCCTTACGGATATGTCATATTCTTCAAGGATACTCAAGTCTAAGAACTCTTTTTTACCTTGTCTTTCATATATGTATACATGTTCCTTTTTTCCATTTTCATCTTTTAATAACTAAAAAAGCGATCCCTTTAAGTAAAATGCTCGTATCATTTCTTCATCTCTTGCTTCTCCTCCTGTTAGTTCATAAATCTGAACAATGAAAATTAATGGAAAACCCGAATACACGTGCCACACACTCCCTATGCTAAGAGAAAGAACAGGAACTACCCTATGAGTGCACTCCTTATGTATGTAGATGCAAGGTTTTAGAGATAAGATGGAAATGGTCAAGGTTTATAGGAGGTTTATAGGTTCCTTGCTAGGGAGCTTCCTGTCCACTTTCCAAGGATATCAGTGCCTGCAGGAGTTCAGGCAGGAAGAATTGCCTCCATAACTGCTTTGCATTAGGGCACTGTCTTGCACATGCCAAAAGACAACACTGCATCATGCTTATCTGTCTTTCTCCTGCTCTGGAAGAAGAACACTCTCCATTTTTCATTGCTTTGTACCTGTGGAAACCAAGCATAATAAAAGCACGACATCTCTTTCCTCTGCAATGAAGTCTCATGTCTCAAGCAGACATTGTGGCTGCAGCCTGGACTACAGCCCCTTTTGGCTCTTTTGCACAGCAAATATTTCAGCAGGAAATGTATAAAGAAAGCCTCCTAAGTGGAAATCCCATTTGAGCCATTTCAAAGGGAAGTTACTGACAGGAGCGGAGATGGTTAGGTGAAAATTACCTCAAAGGCTGTGCTTTTCAGCACTGTGGATTCATTGTCAGAAATGCCTTGTGTCTATAGCTTGCAGAAAAAAGGAGAACAGGACCACCAACAGGCAAGCAAATTTTGAGAAGAAAAATGATGCTCCAAATTCCAGAACCACATGARGGCAACATCATTAATCACACAAAAAAAGTGTGTAACATTTGACAGCCCCGTGAAGCTGTCATTATTGTCATCGAGAGGAGCTGTCATGCCTTTAGCTGCGTGCAGGGGAGCAGAAATTTCTGAATCTTTTGTTGAACATTTGTATGCTTCAAATTGTGCAACAAATGCTGATCTTTGAAAACGCTGATTGGTTTACCCATGACCAGTCCATGTAACACTTTTGTGGCTCTGAGTCAAATCTACCCCTTCCGAATCAACCAGATTTGACCAAATGCAGTGATGCTTCTAGTGCTGGTGTTTTTTATGAGATTAACAGCCTTGATGAAAGTCAAATAAAAGTTACAGCAATCATCAAAATGTACTGTAATACCTGCCCTATGTGGAAGCTACGCAGCTTTCAGAAAATGCACMGACTTACTAAAGAAACACTGTAGAAACACATTGTAATAGTTTTCGTATAAGCAATTTGCTCTAAAGATTTAAGGAGATGCTATTTCTGAACACATTATTAAGGCTATACCATCAATCCTCTCATAGTTTCATCTATTGTGAGGTTAATGACTTAGGTCAAAAACAGGATTTTCCTTCACAGAGAACAYGCTCACTCTGTCCTAAGCCTCCTATTCATGGATATTTCATATTTCATGACTTTGGCCTTCTGAATTGATTGAATCATTTTTTACCTACTGCTGTAATTCCTCAGGATATGCTGTTTCTACCAACCTGTGTCCCTAAAGTGACAAGGATTTAACAAGAACCATCTGCTCCTTTCTRTGTTCTTTATCTTCTCAAAGCTGAAGCTGCCATGTTGTACCTCAGTACTCTGCAAAAATTTGTGTTTAAAGAGGTGAAAAGAGGGGTATTTTTGTTGTTTTTGTTGATGCTGATATTTGCTTCAAGTTCTGTTTAAAGACAGAAATATATCTTAAAAGATAAATAAATTCAGCAGATGACAAAACAATTTTATGGAATAAAGAAATACTAAATACTGATGGGATGTTTAGAAGATGAAGTTTACAAAGTAGTATACATTTCTTTTTCTGCGAGAGATTTTTCCCTTTAAATTCACTACTATTTTCAGAAATTATTTTAAAAAGGAATTCAAAGGACTATGAAATGTGATGCATTTGTGCAACATCTTTGACATATTCATGACTCAGATAAATATCTGTAGCTATGTTGTATTGATCATATTTTAAGATAATTATTTCAAGTAATGCAAAGCTGCATGGGCCTAACCTGGGAAACTATCTTCCAAGGTTGTCCTACATTCAAAATTGCACAGGGGCAGAGAAAGATATAYTGGCAAATGTGTATCTTTGGCTATTATTTCTACACTCACTCTGTTCTGAAAGATAACCTCCATAAAGAATCTTTGGTCTTTAACTAGTCTACATTGAACTATGTCTCAGAGGTTGAGTTTCTACAATTGTGCCTGCGTTTTTCAGATGTAGTTGAAAAGACCTAGAAATAACACAAGTTCTTGTCTCTAATTGTGTAGAAGATATACAGGCAACCACCTCTGAAAAATATTTGTATGCCTTAGATGTATATAATACAGTTAGATGTTGGACACTGAATCCACAGTGGGCAAACATATACAGCAATATAACTTGGTGCAGCCTCAAGTTAAGTGCATGGTTAGCACGTTCCTTTGGCCACAGAAAGCAGGACTCATGCGAGATGTTAATATTAGTGTGTATTTCCCTGTAACTGGCAGCTTAGACTGTTACAAACCAGACTTTGTTGTCTTTACTTTAGTCCAAAGTCAGTAAAAATAATCTCCACATGGAAGACGGGTGCAGATGACATTATTCTCAAATTTACCAAGCTAATTAGTATCAAACAAGAATGAAAACCTCCAAAATTGGAAAAGCTCCTAAAATTATGTTACAAGCCGCATTTGTAACAATTATAAAAACATGTGGTAACATCAAAAGGAGGAAAAAAAGTCTCTGGGTACTTATAAATGTGTGAGTTTTTTTATGAATCTGCTTGGAAGCCAAAACATTTTAATAAGAATTTTTACTTGTCCCTTTCTAATCCACACAAGAGTCTAACATGTTCACTTGGTGACGGGATATCACAGAATCACAGAATGGCTGAGGTTGGAAGGGACCTCTAGAGATCATCCARTCCARCCYCCTGCTCCAGCAGGGACACCCAGAGCACGGGGCACAGGGCGGCATCCAGGCGGGTTGGGAAGATCTCCAGAGAAGGAGACTCCACARCCTCCCTGGGCAGCCTGTGCCAGGGCTCTGGCACCCTCACAGGAAAGAAGTTCCTCCTCACATGGAGATGGAACTGCCTGTGTGTCAACTTACACCCATTGCCCCTTGTCACTGGCCACTACTGAGAAGGGCTTGGCCCCTTCCTCCCTACATTCTCCCCTCAGGTACTTATACACACTGATCAGATCTATCAATTTTCTCTTCTCTAGGCTAAACAGGCCCAACTCACTTAGTATTTCCTCATATTCCAGTCCCTTAATCATCTTTATTGCTCCACATCCCTCTTGTCCTGGGGAGCCCAGAGCTGCCCCCAGTGCTCCAGGTTTGGCCTCCCCAGAGCTGAGCAGAGGGGCAGGATCCCCTCCCTGCCCCTGCTGSCAACRTCCTCCTCATGCAGCCAGGAGCCCAYTGGCCTTCTTGGCCACGAGGGCACTGCTRCCTCATGGSTAACTTGGTGTCCACCAGGACTCCCAGGTCCCTCTCTGCGGAGCTGCTCTTCAGCAGGTCAGCCCCTAATCTGTSCTGGTGCCTGGGGTTACTGCTCCCCAGGTGCAGGACCCTGCACTTGTCCTTGTTGAACCTCATGAGGTTCCTCTCTGCCGAACTCTGCAGCCTGTCCAGGTCCCTCTGAATGGCAGCACAGCCCTTCGGAGTGTCAGCCACTCCACTCCGCTTGGGATGATCCACAAACTTGCTCAGGTGCTCTCTCTGTCCTTGTCCAAGTGACTGATGAATCACTTGCTCAACTTCTTTCCTCTAGGAAGGCACAGATCTTGAGCTTGGAGAAAGTGGTGCTTGGATATTAGCCAGTTCTCCTGGACCCTCATTCCTTCTAGGACCCTGATCCTCCAAGGAGCTCCCTGAAGAGGTCAAAATCAGCTCTCCTAAAGCCCAGGGTTACAATCCAGCTTCCTCCATGGAGGATATGTGAATTCCAACACCTCATGGTCACTGCAGCCAAGACTTCCCCCAACCCTCACATATCCTACTAGACCATCTCTGTTTGTTAGTACCAGGTCTAGCAGCGCCCCTCCCCTTGTTGGCTTATCAACCACCTGCATCAAGAAGTTACCTATCCACAAAGTTCTGCAGGAACCTCCTGGACTGTCTGTTCCTGTCTGTGTGGTCATCCCAGCAGACATCAGCGTGGTTGAAGCCATATCCACCTCATAAGACACTCTGCCCACAGTGGCAGGAAAACAGAAAAGGGAAAAAGGAGTTGGAGACATGAAGGAAAAATAAGCCAGAACTGGAAGTAGCATCCATGCACTACAGAGTAGTAGACAAGTACTTCCCCTTAATATCATGTCCACATTTCTGTATTATTATGATACAGAATCTCATATGATATCAGAGTTTTTTTCAAATACTGTCAATAAACAAGAATGAGTTCATTAATTTTGATTGAAAATACCATGCTATGTCTGATCGTGCTGATTTACTGTAGTAGTCCATACTTATTCTGAGTCAAACTTTCATAAACTGAACCATCATATGCCTTCATCAAACACTGTTAATTTTTTCACATAGTGGCATGAATTTGAGATCTTCATAATGTGCACATTGCATTTAAATTTACATGCAGAAAAGTATTTGGAGAATCAAGATTGAAAATAATCTTTAGTTCTATCATTACTTGTCACTTAACACTTACTGCAAATTCCAGACTATTTTGCAGAAAGATAGGAAAACAATTTCTATATCAAAAAGGGTAGCAAAACAAGAAGCGAGTTATGATGCAGTGAAAATGATGTATGATTCATCAATGAAAATGAGCATGCATCTTTTTTTTTCCAAAGTCTTTTGGCAATTTGCAGCAGCTGGAAAACTCTGCTCAAAATTTTCACTTTCTGTTTTTTTCAGTTCATGTYTCAGATGGACTTCCTTTCAAATGAAATGAGGTTTAATAGATCTTTTGGAAGGGTGAACTGTAGTAGAGTATGAGAAGAGAATGAAGAAGTTTCCACAATGATTGTAAGCTTACCCTGTGGTCAAGAGAGGTGCCTGGGTGAGTGAGAGCCGCTGTGTCTGCATGTGGGTGTAACGTGTGTGGAAAGGACTTGGGAAAGCTGCAGCTGGTACCTGTAACTCTCCAATTGCCTTGGTTGTAATGGCTCAGTTCCACAATTTCATGTCAGTTCTCAGCAGACTCTGGGACAACAGCAGCACAAGGCTGTTCTCATGTGGGATCAGTGGTTTGTGTACAATGCAGACAGAAATCTGATCAGTGTACGGAGCGTGCAGAGCTCTCCTATGTCACTGAGGGGCTTGGGAGGAGGAACAGGCTGCCTTCAAAGGCAAAACAACAGCAGAAAACATCTTCAGCTAGGTTACATGCTTCTGAACTCAACTGATAAGACAGCACAGGAAAGAGTGATGGGTGATATATTTACAGACTCTGATATCTGTGATCACAGAATGATTTGGCAGGCCCATCACCAAAGTCTGACCCAAGAGTAGTCAGGGTATAAATTAAGTTCTGGTAAATGAATGGTCAAGACACTTGTTTTTTTGTGGCTGTTCAGCATCTGAATGTTTCAGCTGATAGCAGTGAATACCAATGAGAGGACAGAAGATGCATACAGGTGATAAAGAAAGACAAAGGACAAATGGTGAAGCCTACAATAACAGTAGAATAAATCATACAGATATTTTATTTTAAAACATACTATAATCACCCTAAACAACACTGTTTTATTTGTATGGAAATTATAGAACCGTAACTAGTACTGTATAGAAAATGGATATTTCATTAAACATTCTCTTTTTGGAAAAAGTAAAATGAAGTTTTTACAGTATATGATGATAGTAAATCATCTCCCTATTTATAGCTATTGCTGCCACAACTGAAGATAGACATGTTTAAATCAGCAAGTTTGGAAGCATCAAAAACTTTTACAAGGGCAAGTCCTGGAACACTGGCCAAATTCCAGAAGATGAAAATCAACAGTGTCAATATTTTGAAAGGTTAAGCCTGAAAAAAATTACTTATTTGCTGTTTTTTTTTTTTTTCTAGTATGAAGTGATTGCTAGAGTATTTAAACTAATTATTAGCTAGTTAATTCATAGGATATTTAATGTTGGGTAACATGGACTGCTGGCAAACTGAGCATGCCAAATTAGTGCATTAGTGCAAATGCACTAATTGCACAAATTTTGCATTAGTGCAAATTAGACAGTAAGTGAAACATTTTAATTGGTATTGGTAATTAAAACAGCTTACTGTAGATTTTACTGTCTGATTCTCTGTCATTGGAAATTTCACAAGCAAGTTGGGATGTGTTTGTAAAATATATTTTTCAGTTGATCACAAGAACCACTGAATTTGAAGAAGGATTCAGCGAAGCATAATGCATAGACTGGGTTATGCAAGCAGTCTGACTGGAGCATCACAGTTGTCTCTGTTCACCTTAAACTAGTCAGACCTAAATATGAAAAATATACTAGTGAAGGTCTTTCAAAGGACAGTAGAGGGAATTTAATCACAGAAGTCAGCAGTGCTAGGAAACGGAGTCTATTCTTTATTATTATTTATCGAGGAGTACAGAAATATGCCAGGAACAAAGATAAGGTTTCTGTGGAGAGAAGCAAGTAAAGAACAGCAAAATTACTGGAACAAGAGGTACCTCAGAACAAGTTTAAAACAAAAATTAGATCATCTGAAAATAAGGAAGGTTCCAAGAAGGGATGGCCAGCATCCCAGAATCCTGAAAGACAAGGCAGACAGTATAAAAAAAATAGCTGCTAGAATTTTTAACTCCTCACTGACAGCAAGGGAGTTATCTACTAAGGACCAGAAAGAAGCTAGTATGAAGCCTCTGCCAAAAAGGACAACATGGTGGGGGCACCCACCTTAATTTTCTAAATGATAAGAAATAAAGATCTGTAGGCTCTATACTAGGATATCCTGGGAAGAAGACCATGTTTAACAAATCTCAGTGTTCCTAATGCAAGAGTTTAAAAGACTAAAAACATTAGATGCAAATATATCTGAATATACACTGAATTTGAATTGGCAGATATGCAATAACATACAAACACTAGTGGTATTAATTACTAAAAAGAATTAAAAACACCTCCTGCCTTTCTTGCTCAGAGAACATAATTGAAAATGGATACAGCCCATTCAGGGATCAGACCAGAAACAGCGCAGCAAAGATCAGCAAGATCTTGCTTTCAGGAAAAGTGCTTCTAAAATCATATATGTAGAGTATGAACACTAATCTTAAAAAAAGAGGATGTGCCCTAAGGCCCTCTGACAGGTTGCATAGTATTGGTCAGGAAACAAACCTGTTTTCTTGGCAACAGCAGTAAGATCTCTGAGAGCACCACTCAGAGCTTGCAGCAACTAGAAGAAAAATACAGCGTCCAGCCACAACATGCAGAGAGACACCTGTTGGCTACCAGCTTCTGAACCAGGAACAATTCTTTTCCTACTGGTTTATTTACATAGTGTAAGTAAGCTCTCTCTCCCTCCTTCTAAGACACTATGCAAAATACAAAACCACTTATGTAAAAGAATAAAAAACATACTATTTTCCTGTCGTAGGATTCCCCACTGCTGTATGTTGTAGCCAGTGTGGATGCACATTCTTCCAGATACCAGGGTTTCTTCCCACTTTCGGCTGTACTGCTTATGGAGATAGTGTAGATGCTATTGGTGTAGCCGTCACAGGAGCAGTGGTCGCGACTCCTTCCACCATTTCCAGATGCCCAAACAAAAACGGAGCCCARACCTCTTCGTCCCTGTTTGAAAAAGATACAAAACATTTGATTAATATTTGTTTTTTTTCTCCTCCCCTAATAGGTCTTTCTCCTTGAAAGGAATTTGAAGACAGATGACCAAACAGAATAGTTCACTGAGGAGGATCTGAAATAAAAATGATCAGACATAAAAATTAAGAGCACAAGGAGGATGAACACAGCTTTAGAAACCGAACTCCAGCTTTACTAAGAAAGAAGGTGACTTGGACCACACATTGGAACAGAACACTAGGTTGAAAGAGGAAAACAAGCAGTGTCCTTGCAACCCTTTGTAATGCATASTACCTTCTTTTTTTCCTAGAAACATCTCTTGGATGCTTCTTGTATTGACGGGTGACTTTTGGTATTTTTTGGCAGCACTATATACAGTGACAACAGCATGGTGATTTCACAGATCCTATAAACCACAGAATCACAGAAGAGCTGAGGTGGGAAGGGATCTCTGAGGGTCTCATTTTTCATGGTGCTAGTACTCTTATATAGGCATTGGTATTAAAAGTGAACACGCTCAGCAACCTATACTGCTGACCTCTAAATAGGAATTGGGGTTATTTGATTTATTTTTACACATTTCCTGAAGGTGAATGAAATTCAGATGCATGCAACCTGCAGGGWCTGCTTTAACTGCCAGCACTCACCACCTGTAAGCACTCTACATTGATTCTGSTAAAAAGATTAATCAAAGCACTGAAGTTGTGTTTGTTTATCCCAAGTTATGTTACCTTGTCTTATATGACATTCCCTCAAAGCAATGGAAGATCCTCCTACATCACAAYTGAACTAATAATCTCATTTATACCTCACTGGTTTGCAATTCATTATGTAATATGTGCTTAGTTTCAATAAATGCTAGCCTCACTTCTGTGTGTAAGCCAATATGATAGAGCATAGAGGTCCACTTGCTCTGCACAGATTAACTGTCTGTCCATTAGGAGAGCTCATTTTTTCTAAACAGAGTGCATCTGTGTACCACAAATGACACAAAGACAGCYGTTGGGCATCTCGTAGGTCAACCCTGAACAATTAGCAATTCAAAGATCCTTTCATCCAGATGCGCAGAGGGKTTTCATTAGAGCACTTTGTGCTGAGTGTAGCAGAACCTACATCAATATATGACAAAGAACAAACACTGCAGTCTGCAAATCAGGCTTGACTCTCAAATATAGATGAATTTSATTTTGTGAGTTTAACAGAAGTATAGTACCTGGAGAGAGTCTTCTCTCCAGCACAATAAGTTAAATAYCAAATTCTCCTGGCTAGTGTTTATACAAGGTTATTTCTCTAAAACGCAGCTTCTCATTAAAAAAACATTTCAAGCAGAGAAAAAAAATCCGTGGGTGCCAAGTTAAATGTATTATGAAATCCACATTCTCCAGACGAGATCAGCCTGAGCAGCTAGGGACTGCTGCTATTTCAACTTCTCTCCCTTTAATTGATTTAAGCACTACACCAATAAAATGATGCAAAACAATAAACTTTTGTTGCTGTTTTAAATGCCAGGCTTTTGCAAGCATTCTATGCCTACCTTACAGCTTCTCCTACCCACATTAATGAACTCCAGTCAAATCAAAATCCCCTGCTGTGTTGGTCTTCATGTTCTAGTTGCTCTTCTGAGCTGTCTGGGTCTAAYGCAGGGCCTCTTGACAGCAGCAGGACTTACCTTGATAACTTCACCGTGCACAAACCTATTCTGAACCACTTCTTCATTCTACTGCAAGTTATCTCCCTTTATTTCTTACCCCTCCATTCCTGAACCAATCTGATGAGATGACAAAAAGGGGAACAGAAAAGATTATTTCAGGTATATGCATCCATTTATTATCTCACCAGATAAAGGAGTCAGAATTAGAGTCCTCTGAATGTTTGTTGTGATTAGGATGAGAGATTACCCTGAAGACATGCTGCTTCACCACCTTTTGCTGTGCTGCTCTTTTATTATTGCTGTTTGTGTTTTGGTTTGATGCTGTAATCTCTTGCAATTAGAGTACTCTTTCTATCAGTAATCTAATGTTTTCTGTCCCCTTCTGCCTTTTCAATGGTCATTTTTAGCTTGTCTGTCAACTCTGTCATCTCCTTCAGAGCCATGTACACACTCCTGTCTAACCCTACACTGCTCTTAAAAAACAGCTCCTCTCCCTTATATGCACACACAACAACAATGTAATTTATGTTTCGGTAGGTAGAACACACAAATCATTTCAGAGACACACTTCTAGGCTCCCAGTCTAGTGAAAATATTCCATAAAAAACATTTGCTGATGAATTTTCACTTTACTGTTATTTGCAGAATTTTACAGTTGTTTCCTTCTTACACATTCCCGCAAATCCACTCGATTGCTCTGATATAAGGTACCTACATATGGTCAAACTGAAACCTATGGGAAATGCAGACTAACCACTGACACAACAAAGCAGAAGAAATGGGAATTCAGGGTAATCCAAACACAGACTCAAAGAGGAGAAAAACAGAATCTATCTTAATGTTTTGTCAAAAAGTCTGTCTCTTGCATTTTTTAAAATGTTAAAAATGATAAATGATTTCTCAAAAAAATGCATGAAATCTACTTTCAGTAGTAGTCTACCCATATATTTTTTTTTATGTTATCATTAGTTGTATATGGCTGATCAGACTGCAAATGATAGTACAGATTAGTCTCACTCTTGAACTCAAAACTATTTTGCAGCTAGCTCAGGCTGTGCTTCATGTAAATTTTGCAGAAGCGGCCCTTGAATTATTAGGCTCTTTGCACACAGAGTATGTCTGTATTTCTTTAGAAGCATTCTTATGCTACTGTACTAATCATGAAAAATGAGCTGTAGAAACAGATATATGAATACATTTTGGGGGCTGAATGTTCCAGTTCAACAATTCTGCTGAAAACATGCCCCTGGATGTTAGAAATTCTGTAGTTCAATATTTAAAAAGAACAAACACAAATTTAAATTTTAATACTAATGACATGGCATTAAAAATAACTAATAGCTATTTGCACTTTAGCTGACCTTCATGCGCGGAGTTATTTTGTAAACAATTTTTTTAAAATTAATGTCTTTTCTAAGCATATAAAATATTATCATTGCTGTTGYTTCAATAAAAAATAAGTACCAGGTGCATTGCCTAATGAAAAAAAAAATTCCCTGTTACTTAATAGAGCTCCAGTTCTCCTCACACATTGCAATACAGCAAAATATTTTAAAACTCTSCATTTCACCAAAAACAACAGCATTACCGTCAGTCTAGAAAGCATGCTAAAGAGCTTGTTCCTAAAAGCTGTTTGGCAAAGTAAGGAGCCTGACAAAAATAATGTGTCAAATAAATAAGTTCTGGTTTTCATTTACTGCCTATTGTTAAACTACTATTCGGTTTTCTCCTTCTCCCTGTWTCCTCACACCCTACTTTTAATTCAATAGACTCAGTCATCCTCAGGAAATTATAAACTTGCTAGTAACACTTTATACCAAACAAGTAATTAGAGCAACGGCATCAGCTGTCCTACTGTACGTGAATGACATTTCCAGTTGGTCTCCTTTCAGTGCAAGAACTTAAATAACAGACATTTGGACCGTGTTACAAAGTTAAGATAAACACACATGTAAGGCACTCCGTAGCTTTTACTGTTTGTCTAAATCTATCATCTGTCATGTGCCAGATGCCCAAGGGTGTCAAGATGAAAACCCAAGTCTTGTGCTGCCAGAGAAGCCGTGTGTCATTTATTACTTAAAAGCAAAGGTGTGTTTACAGACCGTATGGGTACAACTCAGACCATAGTAGAAGAGTTGGTGAGTTATGGCAGAGGCTGGAGCGGGGGCGCAGCACGACATCGTCAGGGCCAGTTCCAGGGACGTTAAAAACGCATTAACTCCTTCTGCAGGCAGAGGTCTGTGTCGGCTGCTGTCTGGCACTGGCAGGGATGGCTGCCCACCCTCTCTCACAAGCTCTGCGTGGTGTCTGCAACTGCACTTGTGCCACACCATTAGGAAATGCTTCCCTGCTATTTTTTTGGTCTTCCTCCTTAAATCATATAAAGTGACATATCATTAAAGAAGGCAACCTCTCCATTTCAAAAAAGCAGTGTTTCACCGACAACTAAAGACTTACAGCGGGGCAGGCCACAGACCACTCTCACTTCCTCGGAGAAGCTATTGCGCGCAGCAGGCAGCCCACGGTGGTGAGGGGGGAAGGATGCGGATCCAGGTCAGTGAGAGGAGGCCCCGGGGCTGCAGGGGCACCCGCGGGAGCAGGGCAGGGCGCCCCGGGGCAGCCCCTTGTGCCAGCGCCTCCCTCCCTGCCTGGCTCGGCTCGGAGGCTCCGAGGGACGGGGTAAGCGATATGGAGGCATTCCTTTCCTTTCCACTTGGACAGCGCGGGAGGGCCGGGCCGCCAGGAATGAGAGCCAACATGAACATTTTCATAATGACATCTGCAGAATTTCCTAAGGCTATTAAAAGCACATCCACGGCTCTGAGTGCGTGCGTGTGTGGGTGCATGTGTGTGCACACATAAAACACATCTTCACCAGCGACCTCCCTACCAGCACTGCTACAGATGGAGGTCTCCACACGCTGTGCAGCAGCCCCACGTGTTTCCAGGCTGCTTCTGCATCACAGTCCCACCTAGCAAAAACAGCTTCCTTCCAGCAGGTAGAGTCTGAGCCAGTGCGGCAAGATTTAATCACACTACTTTACAAAGTTTAGATTGGCCATCCAGCCACTGCTTTATGCTTTACAAGTCAAGCTGCCCTAATCTGTCCTGCAAATCCTGATGCTGTCCTKTCTGTGCTGTGGTAGGAACTGAGCTCCACGGACAACCGTCTGTGTCTACTGGGTGAGCCTGGCTGTCTCTAAAGGAGCCATCACCCTCACCACGGGACCACAAAGCAAATGTGAAGGAGCAGGAAATGCAGAGGAGGACAGAACCACTGACCTGCAGAAATTAGAGGAACAGGAGCTGCAGTCAAGGAGAGGCAATTTGGCACCCATCC